CAAAAAAAATGAAATATCTAGGAATCAGTCTAACAAAGGAAGCAAAAGACCTCTACAATGAAAACTACAGCACTCTGAAAAAGGAGATTGAGGAGGATATAAGAAAATGGAAAGACATCCCTTGTTCCTGGTAGGAAGAACCAATATAGTGAAATGGCCATACTTCCAAAACTACTATATAGATTCAATGCAATGCCGATTGAAATTCCAACAATATACTTCACAGAACTAGAGAAAACAATCCAAAAATTCATTTGGAACCAGAAGAGACCTAGAATAGCAAAAGCAATTCTAAGCAACAGACATGGCAGGGGGTATCACAATCCCCAACTTGAAACTAAACTACAAAGCCTTTTTTTCCAAATAAACATTTCAAGCTACAGATTTCTCTCATATATGCTTTGGAGAACAGTTGCCACTCTGTCACTGCTGCTTTCCTACCTTCAGATCCTTGGTCTGAATGAATGCACCACATACCACAATTTTGAATGTAGTTGTCATGTCTTGATTAGCTTTTAATATTTTATATTACAGAATATTTGTTGGGCCCATAAGCGGTTGTTTTGTTTTTTTTTTTGAGACAGGGTCTCTGCACTATGTAACTGAGGCTGCACTGCCGTGAACTCACTATGTAGCCCAGGCTGAGCTCATACTCATATTGGTCCTCTTGCCTCAGCTTCCCAAGCACTGGGATTCCAGGTGTAATCATGCCTGATTTGTGAGTTATTAAGTAATGTTCTTTTTTAAACTTTTGAAACATAATGTAGAAACCATAAACATATATGCATATGATACAGAAAATTGCATATATTATAAGTGTGCAGTCTGAGCAAGTTTCCCAAACTATATGAACCCATTTATCTACACATTAGGATTTAAACATAGGAATATGAGCAAATCTGTTTAATTGAGAAGAAATTCACCTAACATAAAGTACACCATTCAGTGCCATCAAGTATACTTAGCAGCTTGTGTATCCAGGACCTCTATCTAGTATCTATGTATCTCATCACTGCAAAGAAACTCCCTATAGCTTGCAGGCTTTTCTTTCATTCTCTTTTCTTCCAAGCCCTCAGCAGCCACCAGTCTGTTTTCTGTCTTTATGGGTTTTTAAGTAATGTGATTTTAAAATTTCTAAATGGATTTTTAAATTGTGATTTTCACTAGTTTCAATCTTAATTGTGATATAGTCTTAGGATACTGGTTCTTTGAAACTTAATTTGATATTTGATATTTGCTTTATGCATTGAATCATTATCAGCTTACACAAATGTAATACATGATTTTAAAAAGAATGTGTATTCCCTGATGGTTGTGTGTGGCACCCTGTATATGTCATTTATATCAAACTGGGTAATCATATTGTTCAAAACCTTTATAAATTCACCAGATTTGATCTATCAGTTACTAAGGAAGATAGGCTAAATCTCCTCCTCTGATCTTGGATTTGTACTTGCCCCTTGAAGCACTGTCAGTTTTGCTTGTGTGACAGATTTATCAGATAACACAGAGAGACAATAATCAAAGCAGAAAGTTCAGAGGTGCCAAGTGTACAAAAGGTTCTCAGCTGCTTCAGTCTTCTGCCACATTAGCCCAGCTTAGCCAGCCTTTGCAGGACAAGGAGGTCCTTGCTTTTACTCTCTCAGCCTCTCTTGTCCTTTCTACCAGTTCAGAAATGCATTATATGCAAAATCAAAAGATTGTGGGCCAGGGATCTAGCTCAGTGGTTCTGCCACCTGCTGCAAGGTCCCGAGTTTGATCCCTGGTACCAAAAAAAAAAATCAGAAGGTTGATCTAAGAAGACACTGAATAAAACTACTAAAAATGCTTTTTAAAAAATTTTGTTGCAATAATGGAGTTGAAAATATCTTTAGGTTATTGTTTCACTAACACATACACACACACACACACACACACATACACACACACACACACACACACATACACACACACCTTTGCCATTTCTCATTTTCAACTAGGGTCACTGTGGGCCAAAGGTATTATTGGATCTGGATGGACTGAATATTGTTCGCATCTCTTGTCCATGTAGTCTTCAGGTTATGGTGTCTCTATCAGACAGCCAACTTGCAACTCCATCCACTTGTGAGAAAAGATCCTATTGTCCCATACCTACATCCACTCTGTGTTTATAATTACCCTAGCTGGAACAAGAAATAGAAACATAGGCACTGTATCATTGGACTAGATTCAGCATCTTTATTCCTCCTTACCTTCTACATCCAATACATTTGTTAATTGAAATAATTACCATTTTACTTGGTAGCAAAATTCTGTGTTTCTTCTAGGGCTAACTGACTGATGTGCTTTGAAAAAGCAGCGAAATGTTTTTTACTGTGCTTGGATTCATTTCCCTTAGCAGATGACTTTAGTAACTTCTCATAGTTTTTCATCTGGCAAATCAAAGGGAGTCACATTTGGAGAGAAATAAAGTTGGTTCCTTTGAGCTGAACAATGCCACAGAAGGTGAAACAACTTCATTTTGCATACAGACATGCATGCCTGCCTAGGGCTTGGAGGGAGAGGTGCCTGGATTTGCTCAAATAACTTGTGGTGCTCATACTAATTGGTTGTTTGAAATGGGCCGTTCACCTGGGCCTCAGGAAAGGCACTGGGGTTGCTGACTCATCTCTCTCCTCAAGACTGAATGGCTTATTATTTGAAAAGGAGGACAGAGCCAACCTAGTCTGCTCCAACTTGTTGTAGGTGATGCCTAAGAAGGAAGGCCCTCCCTAGTGCTTCTGCTGACCTTCAGAGGAGTCATTTGCACGTTAGCACCACAGATATCCTGGGGAATTGGTGCTGCATATGGGAAGATACAGCACCTGGAGGTCAGGGAAGGCACAAGGTTTGCTGGGCCAGTGTACAGTGTGAGGAACAGAGACACAGTGATAAGCCAAGGTATGTGAACCAACCAGTCAGGCAGCATTGTCTGCAGTCTGTAGGGCTCATTACCCACCTGTGAATCCCTGTCCTGTTCCTTTTCCTGAGATGAGAAGTTGAGGCAAAGAAAAGAACCAGGGAGCAGGTGATCCCTTGCCAGGTCCTGTGGTGATCAACACCTTCATGCTCATTTACAGAGCCCTTCTAGCAAGTAGCCAGTCTACATAGTGTATTTATGGAGCAGCTATTACATGCAGTGCTAAATTCTGTGAGTGACAAAAAGAAAAATCTATCAAGATCATTGCCTTCAAATTCTTTATAGTCAAATTATGGGACCAGGACATAAACACAAAACATGACAGAACAATTTGGCCATTAAATAAAACCAAAATAATCAACATTAAAAAAACTCATTTGTCACGGTAGATCATTTCCATCCACCCATGGGACTGTGAATGACTTCACTTCTCAGCAGAACTACTGCTATTAACAATAATGGACAGAAGCAGTGTTACTGAGAGCTTACTTAGGCAGGGCATTTTTTTAAGCACTTTACTCATTATTTCATTTAGTCTTCAGAAAAATCATTAAAATGTAGCAAAACTCTTAAAGAGTGAGGCATGATTCAGGCTTAGAAACTAACATTACAATAAACATCACTCCTTTGAACTTCAGCCTTGGCCTAATTCATGCTCACACCTGGAATTAGGACTCTTTTCTATGCTGCACCATGTTGCTTATTACATTTGAGATGTTGATCCAGGGTGTGGCATAATGATAATCAAATTATAAGTTTACAAAGGGGACAATGTCCTCCGATACCCCAAGGTGCATTCATACCTTGTAGGGGGTGACGGACAGGCAGTGAGAATAATTCTTTGCTAATAGGGACAGTTGGTAAAAGAGAAAGCATCTCAAGAAAACTCAAAAGCTTTACTGACTTTGGACCAAATACCTCAAGATTATTCAAGTATCACATTTGTTTAATAAAGGAACAACTTTGTCGTAGTATGAGTGGCAATCTTCTCCTTGGAGTATACTCATATTAAACTGATCTCTGAGGACATTTACAGCTAAATGGATGCACCTTGAGACCATACTCTTAAGTGAAATAAATAGGACAAACATGTAGGACAAACCAAGTTGTCTCTCTGGTAAGAGAAACTGAAAGTGTAACTGAGGACTAAAATGTATAATAGATACTGTGAAATAGGAAGAAAAGACTCAAAGGGGAAGGGGAACTAGGGGGGTGGGCTGAGGAAAGGAAAGAAGAAAATGAGAAAAGAAGGAAAAAATGGAAACAAAGCTTTTGTAAATAGGGAGGGGTGGAGGGGAGGGAAGGGAGGAAAGGGAGAAAAGGGGAATGGGAAAAACAAGAACCAAGGTACATTATGTACAGGTAAATTTCCAGTGATGAATGTGATCATAATGTATAAATGTAGCAATAAATTTAATGAATTAAAAAAACCCTGATCTCTGAGGTCAATTCTTCAAAATTCTCAGGAGGCTTTCTCTGGGATAAGATGATAGTAACCAAATAAGATGAAAAAGTGCTGTGTCCCCCTTGCTTCAAATCCTGGTTGGACAAAGTCTCATAAAATCAGTGCTAAGTGCTCAAGGGTTTCCTGGAGCACGAGGGTCAGTGCCACCTCCCACCAAGGCCTGGAACACCTTTCCCGATGTGAGCTGAGCATCTACCACTGGAGGTACCCGAAGGCACCCAGCACACTTCCCTGCCCACCTCTGGGACGCTCCCCCACCCTTCAGCACTAGGCAACTGCCCTCGGCTCCCATCCCTTCCCCAGAAGCCTGGGATGAGTTAGCAGCCCTCTCCCAGGCTCCTGTTCATTGGACTCATGTTTCCGGTTGTGACTCCTTTCCAGACCCCCTTAAGAATAGAGACACAGCTTATTCGTTTTGTGTTTCCAGCACTTCCCATGTCCACTGAATTTAAGAGGAAAGGCTGGCTGGGGTCACCTGAGAGGAGCTTCATCCAGTGTCCCCTGGAGAGGTGGGGGATAAGTGTGTCAAGTAACTTCGTGTTTGTTTGGGGGTGCGGGGTAGGGACACAGATTACTTGACATTCCTCTTCTGTTCAGAAACTCTGCTTCCCGTGGACTCAGATGATCCCACTAGATGTGCATCCTGTTCTAGAAGATGGGGGAGACTGAGCCCCTGCTGCTCCCTCCCTCACTGGATGTGGAAAGAGATGAGGGCAGGTGCTTCTGACTGGTGAGGATACGAAAGCAGGAATGATGGAGCTTTGAGTGCACATCGGAGTTCTGGCTGGTTGTGTGTTCAACTGTACCACGACTATTGTCAGAAAGCCCCTCATGGAAAACTGGGGAAGAATAAAAGCCCCTCCCCCAAATTCTGTGGCCCACTCTCTGCCAATAGTTGGCGATAACAATCATGAGAGTAATAAGCGCTTTTAGAGGGCGGACATACAGGAGGCACTGTACTAAGGTTCTGTGTATTTGCTGAGTAGCGGGCAGGATCAAATCTGGTCTATGAAGGTGTCCTCTGAAACATGCCTACTGTACAGAGAGGAAGGAATTAGCTCGGTACCTGAAGCCTCGGGGAGTCAAAAGCAGATGGAAGGAGGGCACGTGTAACCCTGAGGCTGCCCCTGAAGAATTAGGGAAGCCACTGGTCCCCAGCCCCCAGCCCACCCCCCTCTCCTGGCACATCCCAGGACCTCAAGGCGGCCTCCATCCCATCGGAAGGGCCCCTGCCAAGCCCTGGCCCAGGAATTTGCCCTTCAGAATTACACTCCCTGCTGGGAGAAATATAAATACGGATGGAGCTTGGCATCTTCAAACATTGTACAAGAGGAGAGGAACAGCCAGGTCCAGATGATAATATTTTGAAAAACCACAGGGTGCCTCTGCTGCTGTTGAGTTAGAGTTGCTCCTCTTTCATGTGATTACAGAAGCCCTTGTGGGCTTTTTCTTTTCCTTAGAGACTGCCACGGTTTCGCCCTCCCTCTACAGCATTGAAGGATTTTTAAGATTTCTTAGTGCACTGCATTGACATTTACTACTCATTCTCTAAATGAAAGGCAGGCTAAAGCACATTAATGAGCCTCCTGATTACTGCAGCTCTTGAGAAATTAACGACAATGCAGCATGCACTTAACTCTTCCCTACTCTGCTTTTGGACAGCCCTGTGAGCTGAGCTGCGCTTTCTTCATCACCCGGCCAAGAACCAGTCCATGTGTCTCCAGCCAGGAAGGCTTCCCAGGTAAAAGCCATTCCCTGAATAATTAAGTGGCTGCATCTTTTCATGGCCTGGAAGTTTTTTCTTACCCTATCCTAGGTAGTTTCAGCTGGAAGATCTTTGCATCTGTCTTTTGTTCTTCTCTCTCTCTCTTTTTTTTTTTTTGGTGCCTGGGTTGAACTCAGGACCTTGCGCTCACAAGGCAGGAGGGGGCACCACTAAGCTAAATCCCAGGCCCTCTTTTTCTTTTCTTCTAATGTAAGCAATGTCAAGCACCAGCATTTACTGCCTCTTCCCTTATCATAATAACCAACACTTAAATGTTGCTTAATTCCAACTGCACTATCTGTGTGTGTGTGTACATTCTTATTGTTACTCATAATGACCCTGAGGTAGATGCTATCGTCAGCTTTAAGAAGCGTGAAATAAAGGTTTAGCAACATCATGTAAGTCACTTTAGATCCAGCTGGTCGAAGGTGGCAGCGCTACAATCTGAATGAATACACAAGGATTTCCTCAGAAATCATGTCCTAAATACTAACGACATCTACGGCCACCCAAGTGTACGTGTATATCTTGGATTTTTAAAATCCAAATGTGTTTATTATTTGTTCATTTATATATATAATATATATATATATATATTTTGTATTACTGGAGACTGAATGTGGGGCCTTCACACTGAGCTACATTCTCAGGCTCTCTCTCTAAATATATATATAATATATAATATACAATATATTATATATATACATATATTTAAATTTTGAGATGGGTTCTCTCTAACTTCCTAAATTGCCTATGCTGGGCACGAACTTGCAATCCTCCTGCCTCAGCCTCCCAGAATATTTTTTGTATTTTAGAAATTATTTTATATTGTACATATTTGAGGTATAAAACAATGTTTTTGATATGCATATAGATGGCAAAATAGTTGTCACAGGTAATTAATCTGTCACCTCTACTTTCTCTAGTTTCTCTCTCATGTGTATGTATTCAAGGCACCTAAAATCTACTCTTTTAGCAATTTTCAATATACAACACAAAACTAGTAAGTAGCAAGTAATGCTAAGTAGCTATGGTCCTCTGTACATCAGTTGTGTAGATTTATCCATCCTACAGAACTGCAAGTTTTTACCCTTTGGCAAATTTTCATTTCCTACCCTTTTCCACTGGTGGTAACCACCATTCTACCCTGTTTCTTGTTGGGAGCAATGCTACATAATTTTAGGGTAAAATCATTTGGTTAGCCTAATTCTTTTGCCTACAGCCCAGCTATGGAATAACTCCATTTTGGCCTCCGGTCACAACTGAGACCTCAATGATCCAGTGATGCTGTGATTCTCCAGGGCAAGAAACATCCTGGGAGCTAAAAACATCCTGGGAGAACAAAGTTCCTACTCAGTTCCTCCTTGTTCTTGGATTGTTACATCTTATTTACACAGGATGTACTGAACTCTCCAAAAGTCATTTGTTTCATTTCTTTCTCCCGATGTACTGAATAAAAGGTGCGGTAAGGTGGGGGCTTTTGTCTTTGCCTCCCAGAGCAGCACTGATCAGACCCAAAGCTCAGCTTCTTCTCAGTCTCATTTTCCTACCTTTCCTGTAATTCACCTTGTGCTGCCATGGCTCAAAGGAGACTAGGACTTACTGCAGAGGTTCTAGTAATGTGCCCTTATCCCTGTTCCCTACAGTTTCTTTGTATTTGGCCTTTTTTAAAAAAAAGATTCTCCATACATGTGAGATCATATAGTATTTTTCTGTGTCTGGCTACTGTACTTAGCAGAAAGCCTTCCAGGTTCATCCAAATTGTGGCAAATGGCAGTATCTCCTTAAAAGCTGAACAATATTCCATTGTGTATGTATGTCACAATACCTTTATCCGTTCATCCATTGACTGGGGCTTAGCTGGTTTGCATACTTAGCTACTGTAAAGTGTTGTGACATGGGACATGGGAATATTCAAAATGTGTTTGGTGAAACATTTCCCAGTTGTATGATACAAGGTGAGCTCAGTGCAGCTTCTGCCTGCAGGGACTCCCTTCGATGACCTTGCATTGCCTTTGGTGGGCTGGCTGAGGACAGTAGACAATGACACAAGAAACCACTCTTTCAATGTGAATAAACACCAGGGTAATTCTGCAGTATGGAGGCATTTCACAGCCAAGAGATAGGAGCTGGGCTCTGGACCAGGAGCTTTGCCTTGTGCCTCTCTTCTCTTCTCTTCTGGGCAGTGGTGGAGGAGCACATCCTTGAGGGAGGGCACAGGATATCATTCACTGTAAAGATGAGGACCTAAAGGCTCCGTGGGGATTGTGGACTTATTTGCTCAGGATCTTGTGGCTCGGGCCTCCCCCTACCTTTGATCTGAATCTACAAAACTGCAAACTTACTGATTCCAAACTGCTCTTATTTTGCCATCTCAAACCGTGTCCTGGTGGATCTACTGAACAAGGTGTCCACCAGGAAGTCTACCCTTGGATCCTTGTTTCTGACCTCAGAACTAGCAACCTTACCGGGCTGAGTCCCACCTGCCAGGTTTTTAAAACAGTTATGCAGCTTTTCAGCACCACCAGGAAGTCATGAAATGAAGCTGGAGACCCAAGTGACATTTGTTTGTATCCTGACAGCAGCCACATTTATTACATTAAACTAAGAAGCAACAAAGACTCAGGAAGCCATCCTGAAAAGCAACTTTGGTTGGACAGTGTTTCCACGTAAGAAAGAGAAAATCATGATAAAAGAAAATGGGTTTGCGCGAAGAGCAAAATGCCTTCCAGGAAGCCCTGAGCCTCTACAATGTTGTTTCTCTCACAAAGCTCTGTGTGGGGCTGCGAGTGCTCCCCCACCACAGCAGGGGAGGTTAGGAATACAGGGCTTTGGCTCAGTTGACACAGGCGCAAGCCTCAGTTGCTGTCCCAGCTATGTGACCTGAGTCAAACTAGGTGACCCTTTGATCTTTGTTTCACCATCTGTGAAACAGGAGAGTACTTGTCTCTATGCCATAGGACTGTTGAGACAGTTATGGTTTCTAATAAGCACTGGAGTGCTGCAGAGCGCTGGACACATAGTAAGCACATCACAAATGCTAGCTGCTTTGCAGAGTCCAGAACACTCTCTGCTAGAGTCCTTCTACTGAGCACCTACTGCCCCCTCAGAAATGCTCTGTCCCGGACAGCTCACCCCTCCCCAGCCGGGACTCTGCTCAAAGGCCAGCTCAGTAGAGCTCCTCTAACCACTGCCCAGAGCAGCTTCTCCTTTCCATAGCACCTGTCATCGCCAGAGGCTGCATTATGTCTTCGTGGCCTTAATCGCTTATATTTTTGTCACCTTTCAGTACAGCATTAGCCCCATGATGATAGGAACTGTGTTGCTTTCTCCCCTGTATTCCTGTTGTCAAGTAAATACTGACTACATGCAGGTGAACAAGCAGCATCTCTCCCACTTACAGATTATGATTCCACACAGTGGCACGGCTGAAAACTGTTCCTTGTCACCGGACCTATTGCATATCTGGGACAACAAGCCTTGGGCGTCAGAGCCACAGGTGCAGTGACGAGAAGACCTGACCTCCCAGGCATTGCATTGTGCACAGCAAGCCCCACAGCCCAGAAGGGCCAAGCAGTCACCACTCGGGGCTGCAGGCTCGGCTCAGTGGTTTTCTTTGTGGGGAAACTTACAGCCTGAAGAAACAACAGGCAAGAGCTTCTCCCTGGTATCCTTCCCAGCCTCTGCCACCCACTCTTCCCCCAGGGTTCTTTATTGGCTCATGCACCTTTCTCAAGGACAAAAAGCATGTCTTCAGACTAACCAATGGCAACAGATAGTTTACTGCTTTCAAACTCAGGAACTATTTTTTAATGGCAGCACATAGCTTGCTCATAATTTTCAGTAAGTTAAAGCCAGAGTAGGTTTTGCTGCTGGCTCTAGCTGGCTGGTACTGAGGTGCAGCTGTTTGTGATAGACTCATCTCGGCTCCCTGGGTGGTTCCTTGCAGAGAGACGCACTGGCTCCGTGGACAAACAGCAGCCTTTTTACTGCTGCTGCCTGGTGAAGGCTAAGGGAAGCAAGGGTCAATGAGCATTAAAACATCCCAGTCGTCCGGGGATTTAGCTCAGTGATTCTACTGCCTGCCTTGGAAGCACAAGGTCCTGAGTTCAATCCCCGGTACCAAAAAACAAAAACAAAAACATCCCAGTCCTGCCCGCTCCAAGAAGATCAAGATGGGAGATAAATTGGATGGGAGGTAATTCAAAGGCACAATAATGCATCTCAGCCACCAGGGGAGATTGATTTTAGAGGTGACTCTAAAGGGTGTGGAGTTGCTTCTAAATGCAAGGCTTGTGAATCATAAGCACTTTCAGAAGTTGTTACAAGCAGTTGTGTGGCTTCCAAAGCCTGAGAAAGAGAAATGAAGCAAGAGGTAGAAATAAATTAAATAACAAATAGCGAAAAAGGAAAGCAGGCTCCATGAACTCTACATGACCCAGCAATTGCGATAACTCACACTGGGATTTGGTTTTCCAGTATCTGCAACGAGCAGGGAAATCTGCAAGGTAAAAAGGAAGCTGCTTTTGGTCCTTAGTTGGGAATTACTGTCTATGGGGCAGACATCGTTTCCATGTTAATGTGCATGATATATAAGGTAACTGTGACAGGAAGACTACTGGATAAGGCCCATGAACAGATGGAGTCATGAAGAGCTTTATGAGCCTGGAATCACGAACATGCGCATTGGGACCACCTAGCTTGCTGCAGTAATGTGGGGGTCAGGCCCAGGCATGTGCAATGGAAGAGTTTTTCCTTTGCCTTCCACATAAAGTCTATGGAGTCACTGGGTGAGCCTTGCTGGATTTTCCTGGCAATGTTCAGGTCTCTGGCAGTGAATGGGTTCTTCCTCCCCTCCCCTCCCCTCCCAATTCTCTTTTATTCTGTTCTCTGCTCCTCTGCCCTCCCCTCCTCTTCTCTTTTGTCTTTTTTCTCCCCAACTTGAACTGTTTCTTAGATAAACATAACTC